CACTCTGTTATCACATTTTATTCTTCCATTCTACATTGCAGCAACATCCTGGCTACCATTGCCACTCACTTGAAAGTTGAGAAAAGGATAATAATGCAGAAAATTTTAATGTAATATTTATTCATTTGAAAACAATGGCAGATGCATATACATGATGATGCATGATGATACATGATGATACATAGGGATATTCACGAACAGCTTGCAACAGGCCAAGCGTCTGAATATACACGTTTATGAAATGGTATATATAATATATAAGTAATCATGAATGAAAGCTATTTTTAAGGATAGAGACATTATATATCCTTAAACAATAGCTTTGTATATACATATTTATACTTCACATTGGCAAGTTGTTTTTTCCTCCTGAATTATAGACATTCAAGAGCAATACATTTGTCGCGGAAATCCCTCAGTGTAATAATTTATAATGCCCATTATCCCTCAGTGTGTGAGTAGATTATTGTTGAGGTCTGAGAGGAACCCAGTGATGGGTTGTGCCTACAGCACACAGTGATGGGTTGTGATCTACCTGCCTACAGCACACAGTGATGGGTTGTGATCTACCTGCCTACAGCACACAGTGATCAGTTGAGATCTACCTGCCTACAGCACATGTGGAAATTATTTAATTTCCGAAGCTATAGTGCCTAATAAGTGTTTAATGTGCTGATTTGGGTCAAAATGTATTTGAAAATGGAATAGAACCGGCAGTTCCCTCTGTGCCTGCGCGGATGTGCGTGGGGACAGGTGGACACAGGGCATGGGGAGGCGGCAGTGTTTTGAATGGGTTTAAGAGGCTGTGAAAACATGGGACCAGGAAATTGGCGTTCACGGCGGCCTAAGGATTAATATAGGCCTCACTTCATAATAGGAAGTGTCGTCACTGTCCCTGGTAAAGAGTGAGGGAACGGGATTGACGGCACCGCTGTAATAAGTGGTAAAATTAGTGAATAATGGTAGGACCGGGGGTGACGGGTGCACCGCCATGGAATGTGTCCAGGGAAAATTACCCGTGAGTTAATCCTCACTCATCGGTCTCAGATCTTAATGGAGCGACCTCTAATGTGTATAATAATTATGAGACATTAAATCGTCTTGTGAATTGTAATGTTATTAATGATAACAACACTAAGTTAAGAGAATGCGTGAAGTGAAATAAGTCGCCTTGCTCTGAGTGAACACGTTAGACCGCGTTGTTCCCGTCCCGAGGATAGTGAAGTTTTATGGAGTCACGACTTCTAAACCGGGACAAACCAACGGATACCTCGTCCTGCTGGAATAAGAACCGTGTCGGTGTAACAGGACATCGAAATGAGATGATGAATGGAGGAAATAAGGAGCATCAGTCACCCACAGTTAAGTAACCCTTCTAGTTATAGGAGACTGATACTGATAAGTATGTTGTAATTGGATAGGTTATGGGTTTACCTGGACCTGGAGTTTACCTGGAGAGAGTTTCGGGGGTCAACGCCCCCGCGGCCCGGTCTGGGACAGGCTCTGGTGGATCAGCGCCTGATCAACCAGCTGTTGCTGCTGGCTGCACGCAAACCAACGTACGAGCCACAGCCCGGCTGATCAGGAACTGACTTTAGGTGCGTGTCCAGTGCCAGCTTGAAGACTGCCAGGGGTCTGTTGGTAATCCCCCTTATGTGTGCTGGGAGGCAGTTGACGTCTCGGGCCTGACACTTTTGTTGGTCTCTTAACGTGCTAGTGAAACCCCTGCTTTTCATTGGGGGGATGGTGCATCGTCTGCCAAGTCTTTTGCTTTCGTAGTGAGTGATTTTCGTGTGCAAGTTCGGTACTAGTCCCTCTAGGATTTTCCAGGTGTATATAATCATGTATCTCTCCCTCCTGCGTTCCAGGTGATCCAGCTTCATCAAGTGACCACCAGAGAATATCTGGTAAGTGGTGGGATTATGTACAAATGTTTTTCTTCGATGGATATATCCATGTGTAACCTACCCTCCCCCCCTTCATTCAGTTAAACTAATATAATCTATACAGTCCACAATTAATTAGTAGCGCCGTATTTGTGGGTGCTATCCAATTTATACTGGTCTTGGATAGATATGGATAAGATTGTGAGGGTCGAGGGGGCCACCTGCAGTGACCAGAGGTGGTTAAGTTTTCTCACATGTCTACACAGAGTGTCTACGGTCAACAATATAGTTGTTGTCTCCCAATGAGATTACTAGTATGCATGTAATGTTGAGGTACATACAGGTAATCACCCCTAGAAAATTTTCCATATCTGCCCGCTGTTCTCCGGTTCGAAGGACAAGCGGGCAGATATGGAAAATTTCTAGGGGTGATTACCTGTACGTACCTCAACATTACATGCATATGAGTAATCTCATTGGGAGACAACAACTATATTGTTTACCGTAGTCACCCTGTGTAGACATGTGAGAAAACTTAACCACCTCTGGTCACTGCAGGTGGCCCCCTCGACCCTCACAATCTTATCCATATCTATCCAAGACCAGTATAAATTGGATAGCACCCACAAATACGGCGCTACTAATTAATTGTGGACTGTATATATTATATTAGTTTAACTGAATGAAGGGGGGGAGGTTACACATGGATATATCCATCAAAGAAAAACATTTGTACATAATCCCACCACTTACCAGATATTCTTTGGTGGTCACTTGATGTAGCTGGATCACCCATAACCTATCCAATTACAACATACCTAACTGGCCAGTATCAGTCTCCTATAACTAGAAGGGTTACTTAACTGTGGGTGACTGATGCTCCTTATTTCCTCCATTCACCATCTCATTTCGATGTCCTGTTACACCGACACGGTTCTTATTCCAGCAGGACGAGGTATCGTTGGTTTGTCCCGTTTAGAAGTCGTGACTCCATAAAACTTCACTATCCTCGGGACAGGAACAACGCGGTCTAACGTGTTCACTCAGAGCAAGGCGACTTATTTCACTTCATGGATTCTCTTAACTTAGTGTTATTATCATTAATAACATTACAATTCACAAGACGATTTAATGTCTCATAATTATTATACACATTAGAGGTCACTCCATTAAGATCTGAGACCGATGAGTGAGGATTAACTCATGGGTAATTTTCCCTGGACACATTCCATGGCGGTGCACCCGTCACCCCCGGTCCTACCATTATTCACTAATTTTACCACTTATTACAGCGGTGCCGTCATTCCCGTTCCCTCAATCTTCACCAGGGACAGTCACGACACTTCCTATTATGAAGTGAGGCCTATATTAATCCTTAGGCCGCCGTGAACACCAATTTCCTGGTCCCATGTTTTCACAGCCTCTTAAACCCATTCAAATACTGCCGCCTCCCCATGCCCTGTGTCCACCTGTCCCCACGCACATCCGCGCAGGCGCAGAGGGAACTGTTGGTTCTATTCCATTTTCAAATACATTTTGACCCAAATCAGCACATTAAACGCTTATTAGGCACTATAGCTTCGGAAATTAAATAATTTCCACAGCACATCTCTCAGTGCTTCCAGTGGGAAGACTCTCTCCCTCCTGTAAACACGTGTTAACCCGATCACTGGTATGTAGTCAACTCCAGCACTCACTCTCCCCTACACATGTATTTTTTTCACACATACTTTTTCAATTTCACCTCTTCATTCTCCTCCTCCTCCTCCTCTTCCTTCTTTCTTCTTGTAAAAGGACACAAATGCAACTAATGTGACATTTTATTGTGGCAATGTTTCGTTCTCCAGGGGTTTTGACAAAACTCCTGGAGAGCGAAACGTTGCCACTGTAAAATGTCACATTGGTTGCATTTGTGTCCTTTCTTCTTCTTCCAGACTTCACTCTTCCCTGCACATGTACTCTTTACACACACACTTTTCCAATTCTTTCTCCTTTCTTATTTTGTTTAAGGTGATTCAGCCGTATTTTTTCCCTTTCCCCTCCCTCCCACTCCATCCCCCCAACCTCTTTCTCTGTCTGTCTGTCTGTCTGTCTGTCTGTCTGTCTGTCTGTCTGTCTCTCTCTCTCTCTCTCTCTCTCTCTCTCTCTCTCTCTCTCTCTCTCTCTCTCTCTCTCTCTCTCTCTCCTTCAGTGGACTTGCTTTCCTAAAAATGCTAGTCACTCCTCATTCAAGTTTTCTGTGATATGGTGTGTATGGCACCGCGGCTCACACAGGTACCAACTACACCAAAACAACCAGCGAAAATTACCTGTCACTGACCTATGGCACTCATTTCCAAGCCTGTCTTACCTTCCCTTTTATCTTTTTTCTTTTTAATTGCGACTCTTGCCCATGACGCCACTTTTACACCTGATACCTATACATTTCCATCATTATATATATCGATGGTTTACCTATTTCCAATACTTTAAAAAGGATCTTAAGGGTAAAACATCATTATAATAATAATAATAATAATAATAATAATAATAATAATAAAAATAATGCATCCTCTTGCTATACGTCTTTTTTTCTACTATGAGGGTAATTAACAGTCCAGCAAATTGCAAACAGAGTTTCTACATTTTCGTGAATATTGTGTAAACAAAGTGTCAAGTGTCTTCTCGAACTTGGGTTCGAGTGGGTTTGAAACTGGCTTCGATCTCCATAGCATCTTCGTTACCTTTACACTTCACCGTGAATACAATATTAATAATAATAATAATAAATATTTTATAGTCAATAAAGTCTTAAACAATCGTCATGAAGAGCACTTTTATATATATCTTCGTTTTTTGATTGGCGAACAGTGGAAAACTCCACAACTAGTTCACCCCAGAACACGGTAGTTAAGAGGATAGTTAAGAAGTCTGCCGTTGAAGCTTTTGTTGTATACAGTCATTGTGTGAGCGTTGTTGAGTCTGGTGACAGAGTTTCGTGTGTGTAAACTGTTATGTGTGTGTGGTACCGTGTAGATTTCGGTGGTAATTGACCTGAGTTGTCAGACAAATTTGATATTTGTGACTTGTGTATATTGATAAGGGGAATCAACAAAGTTGTTTACCACAGCAGGAACCACTAAAGGACTTAAGGACTCGAAGGAATTACCGTGAGTTAAATTTGTGTGTTGGAAGGTAGGGAAATCTTGTAGGAGGTAACATATATGTCATTATGACAGCATAACCACCACATCAGTTACGTATTTTTGTAACAAAAATGGTTTTAAGTATAAATAAAACATATAATTATGATTGGAATAAAGTAAGGTGTTTTCTCATGTTGTTCGTATATAATAGAAATTATTTTTTCATATTTTTTTCATTGTACTAACATGTGTATTAATTGGAATTGCATAAAAAATTAAAATTGGTGCTCCCTGATAAAAAAATGTAATTTATAAGCTGGGCGTAAAGTATTAATGTAAGTGTGTCGCCGGGTCACATTCACGAGAAACTTGTTATCGCCTAGGCAAAATTAAATGTATTCGCATCTGCATAAAGCTCAGTGTAAAGAACATGAAAAAGAAAGTACCAGTTTTTCTGTGCCTCTCGTAGTAGACTTCTCAGCTAATGTCACCTACACTGATGGGAAAGATTTTTCCTTTTGTTTGCAACTTTTGTCTTTCACGTCATCTACAGTCAAAGGAAACAACATTTTCTTGAGTCACTATCTCTGATGAGCTCGAGAGTCGAATCGCGATGAACAGGAAGCTTATTCTCGGGTCGCTTTCGCTGACGAGCGAAAGGAAGCGAGGTGTGGGTGGCCATGGGGAAGGTGGAGACATTTGAACACTAGGCAGACAGACGCCCTTGCTTACAAGAGTGTTTGAATGGCTATCGCAGCCTTCCGACCCAAAGGACCGAAGTATATCGCATTTCTGAGAAGACGAAATTAAAGTAAATATATATTAGAAATGTCTCTTGGGAATCGTGCAAAAGATCTCATTTAGTGCAGCGTGCGTTATTCATCACCGTATACGACATACAGTCGTGTCCTTGGTGAGGTGCTTTTCTACACTACTTTTCACGTACTCAAGAGTCTTAAAGGAAATCCACTACTTTTTTGTATTGTTTATACTAGCTATCACAATTACATTTTTTTAGGTGTTTAACTTTTTCTATGGATTGTTTACTTTAGATCTTGCGGGAATGAGCCGAAGGATCTGTCAATGACAATTCCCCTCTCCTTCCTGCAGATCTCATGCGCTACTTACTACTGCTACTGCTACTATTACAGGGTTTTCCAGGCAACTAAAGGTTTCTATTGACCAATAAGGGTATTGTCATAAGCTACAAAGAAATCCTGTTGTAGGCTATTTTAGTCATTCACTTGCACAAACATGGCAGGAGATTTTTTATTTTTATGAGAAGGCTTAGCCCGTTTGGATCAGCGCGGTGAGTGTTGGAGGTTCGTTACTCCGTAAAGGTAAGCTACTCTACCAGTTAATCTTGCCTGAAGTTGTATAAGTGATTTAGAGTCCACTAAGCTACCAACATCATGGCATCGCTAGTAAACACGTCAAACAGGGACGAAGTAAGACAATTGTGGAGAGTATTAAGTTGAAGATAATGCCATGGAGGCCCCAGTGATCACGGCTCAGCGTCGTTCACTACTACTATTTATTTTTTTGTTGAAGTTCTGGGATTTCCAGTAAAAACTTCAGTGGTGTGCAAGGGATTAATCAATTGCAAATTTTGGAAAATTCAAGACTTCCAAAATGTCCTTGAAATTTAAATGACTTTTTGTCAAAATTTTATGAAAATAAGGGATCATCAATAACGTTTTCCAGACAGGCTCGGATTTCAAGGAAACAATGAGAACTACTTGAAGGATATTAAGAGATAATGGGAGTCTCGTTAAGGTGCTGGTACGAGGGAGGAGGGGAAGTTGGGTGACGGGAATCATGCTGGTGCAAGCCCATGCCGCTGGTCATGCCCATGAAGAGGTTCTGCCAATACCTCCAGGGAGACGTCATACACACTGCCTTGCTCCTGGGACACGGGTGCTGCTTCAGGCACTCGACAAACTCTCTGTCACACTCGCAGAGTTGGTGCCCGCAGCTGTCCACTGCTCCTGTCCTCACATTCGTCGTCACTGTAACAAAACGAATTATTAATTTCATAGAGTACAGGATCCCTCCAAAAAACGTTTAGTGCAGTCATAAAAATATAGGGAAGCCTGGGTGTGTACGGTGGTTTGTCACGTAACTTGCAGACAGAGGATCGAGCCTGCCGTGATCAATGACCCACAAAAGTTTAACACTTCACATAAATATATTTCTACCATTATATCATCACAATTATATTCAAACATACCCGGAACACACACCACACACACACACACCACACACACACCACACACACACACACCACACACACACACCACACACACACACACACCACACCACACACACACACACACACACACCACACCACACACACACACACACACACACCACACACCCACACACACACACACCACACACACACACACACACAACCCCCACACACACACACACACACACACACACACACACACACCACACACACACACCACACACACACACACACACCACACACACACACACACACACACACCACACACACACACACCACACACCACACACCACACACACACACACACACCACACACACCACACACACACACACCAACCACACACACACACCACACACACACACACCACCACACACACACACACACACACCACACACACACACCACACAACACCACACACACACACAACACCACACACACACACCACATACACACCACAACACCACACAATACACAAACACACACACCCACACATCACACACACACACCATACACAACACCACAACACCACACACATACACACCACCACCCCACATACACACACCACCACACACACACAACAACACACCACACCACACACCACCATACAACACCACACACACATACACACACACACACACCACACACACCATCAACACACACCAACCACACATACACACCAACCACACACACACACACACACACAACCACACCACATCACACCACACACCACAACCACACACACTACACACACACACACACCACACCACACCACACACACCAACACCACACCATACACACACACACACAACACACACACAACACACCAACACACCACCACACACACATCACACACCACACACACCACCACACACACACAACACACCACACACATCACACAACAACACACACACACATACCAACACACACCACAACACACAACACCACACACACCACCTACACACAACACATACGAACACTCACACACAACGCACACATACACACACTCGCACACACCATCACACCACACACCACACACACACACACACACACCACACACACACACACACACACACACACACACACACACACCACACCACACACACACACCACACACACACACACACACACACACACACACACACCCCACACACACACACCACACACACCACAACACAACCACACCACACACCCACACACACCACACACCACACACACACACACACACCACACACACACACAACACACACACCACACCACACCCACACACACACACACACACACACACACCACCACACACACACACACACACACACACACCACACACACACACCACACACACCAACACCACACACACCACACACACCACACACACACACACACACACACACACACACACACACCACACACACCAACACACAACACACACACACCACAAACACCACACACACACACACACACACACACACACACACACACACACACGTACGTCAATTCTAACAAAGTTGTTTGGTGGGAAGTGTCAACTTTTTTTTTTTTTGCTATTACATTAATCGAATTTTGCTTCAAAGTTTAAGATTTCGTTGGATGCTGGTGAAGAAGTTTTTGATCCAAGTTACTGGAGCTACTCTCCCTTCAATCAGATTAAACCTGATTATCTTCCATTCCCCAGTCGCTTTGTTACACGAAAAAGACTAATAAATTATTTATCCATTAAGTAATGTTTATATATGAAAAACTAGTTAGCCCTGCTCTTCCTTCAAGGAGGGTGCCTTCACCCCTACGTTTTTAGAGCTTCCTTCCCGTGAATGCAATAAATCACACCGAGCCTAATGAACGCCTGTGTTGGCAGTAATGTTGTGGAGCCTCAGACGTTAGTCAGCCAGACTCCGCCACTCACTGTTGACCAGTAGAGTGCCAGGTGTTGTTGAACTAAACAGGTCAGCTATGTACAGTGGTGCTATGCAGGTAGATTTAAGAGTCAACGAGAATGAGTTTCTCTCGGCTGATGAATTTTGTGGTGGGTATCTGTCCGACTCATCACAAATAGTGTGAACTGAATGGTTAAGAAACTCTCCAAGACGATGTTGTACCGTCCCATTTCAATATTTCGGAATCAGTGTGTTAGGAGGACGATTTAAACTTAAATGTTTCTCTCTCTCTCTTGTATATATATTATATATATATAATCATATATTTGTTAGCATAGCTTAATAAAACGAAGGGATGAATGAAAGTTATTATTCCTTATGAAATAAATCGTAATTAGTAAAGTAATAACTTTTTTTCAATTAACTTTAGCATTAATAAATTTTATGACCACCAAAATTTAGTTGCTATCCGGACTCTAGTCTGTCTGCCTGAAAGACTGTACATCAACTTTCCTCAAGAAACTCATCCAAGCAGCGTCTGTCACTAGTGTTACCTAGACTAATACTTATCTGGTCCAACGTCACTTGTAGTTTTCAAGTCAGCAGGTGTGTACATGGCAGCTCTTAGGAAATTCGGGATCCATCAGCAGGAGTCAGCCGACGTCCTCTCTCACGATGAACTACAGGAGAGCATGTTTAGGTATATTCCTAAATGTTATACATTTTTTGCAGTCCAGTGAATTAGAATTTGGGCCCAAAGCTTTCGAAATCCATTGAAGCCATTGTTTTTTTTTTTAATTCGCAGTGTGTTAGTCATTTTTATAAGTACTCTCTACACATGATTGCATCTGAGAGTAGAGTCCGTTGATGCCACAGGTGCCAGGAAAGGTATAGTCAGTCAGTCAAGGAATCTGTGCAAAAAAATGTTAGTCTAGGTACGGTCATCAGCAGATACTCTGGGGAAAAATCGTGAATGCAGGAGGTCCTGAACTTACAACGGAGTTGCATTACTAGTGTTTCGGTTTACGAACAAGCTGTTTGCATAGAAAACGATGTAATAAAGGATGGCTATATTGCATTCATGGCTGTACAAGGGTACGGGGGTTGTAAAATTTTGAATGGTTCCAAGGTTTCTTGTCTGTAAGCGTGGATTTGTGAAACTTAGGGTGTTAGTATATGTAATGTGTGTAACCTGTGTGTATAAGTCGAGGACCTCCTTTATCCAGTGACCTAGTCCACTCACACTAGTTAAGCAGTTAACATCAAATATAACACACTGTAAGATAAATCATTATTAAAGTTCAATGAATTAACGCATTCATTATAGTTGTTTCTTTGATATATGGCTGAGAATATAATGCCATGAGACTTACCACAGTATGGCTTCCCTCCATTACACTTCCACTTATAAGGCGCTAAGTAGTGGTCTAGACCTCTACACTTGGCGTGCTCGTAACACCAGTCGTGGCCCTTGCAACACCTGCAATAAGGGAATTGAAGTTGCAGTACCGCGGATGGAACAATTCACAGCTTACGCACAGTCTTCGCTACGAAAACTAGACGAAACTGGATGATTGGGTTAATGGGGTTTAAAGCATATCGACCACACCAGAGGCTTAAAGCTGCGCGTAACCATACACACCACACACACACACACACCACACACACACACACACACACACACACACCACACACCACACACCACACACACCACACACACACACACAACACACACACACACACACACACACACACACACACACACACCACACACCACACACACACACACACACACACACACACACACCACACACCACACACACCACACACACACACACCACACACACACACACACCACACACCACACACACACACACACCACACACACACACACCACCACACACCACACACACACACACACACACACACCACACACACACACACACCACACACACACACACACCACACACACACACACACCACACACACAGTTATCTCTAAAATAGGGATTAAGATAAACTCTCAACAAATATACGCTGAGATAATAAATATATATGTTGTGCCTAATGGGTAAAAGTTGCTAATTTGGTTTAAATGGCAACGCTCTTCTTGCCGAATAAGGCGAGCAAAAATTTGTGTATGCAATAATTTCGCAAAAATTCTGAATTTAACCGAAAAATGTTTCATTGTGTTTATTATTAAATTATTATAAACGTATCTAAAATATATTTAGTTGGATTAGGCTAAATTAAATTGCGCTTGTTATATATAATGTTAGGTAAGATTTCAAGGTTCTTTTGGTACAAAATTATTAATTTTTACATTAACATAAATGAAAAAAATTTATCTTTAAACGTATAAGAGAAAATTTTAGAAAGGACTTAATTTTATATGAATTCTTGCTAATTGACCAATTTTACCTATTCGGCACGACGTGTATATATATATATATATATATATATATATATTATATATATATATATATATATATATATATATATATATATAAGGAAAGTACCACCTCTATGGCTGGAATGGGGAAACTCGTCCTCAGAGAAGACAATAAACGTACCTCAGGGAAAACTCAAGGTTCTCCCCGGAGCAGTTTGAATATTTTCTTCTACCATCCCCTATATTAGATATTCTATGTGAACATTTATTAATAAACAGAATACATTTACAGAAAAACATAAACATGAATACAATGGCACAATAAATATATATATATATATATATATATATATATATATATATATATATATATATATATATATATATATATATATATGCATAATTTTAATAAGTGTGGTGCACACTGGTCTGTTAACAGTAATTCCCACATGAACGAAATATCAAAGAGTGGAAAGGAATCTGTGTTCCCTTCAAAACAAGATTGCTCTGATACTGATGGAGAGCTCTTCATCCAAGGTACTGGAATTACTCCCTCCCATTTCTTGGATCTAACCTGGTAACTTCTTATTGTCCGTAGGGTGAATGACCCATACGGGTTTAGCTCATCCCAGCAAATACAATGATCCACGATTTAGGATTTATGTTTTAATTTACGTTTATTTAGGATTTATATGTTCAAATTTACATTTAATTAGGAATTATGTTCAAATTTAACTTCATTTTGGATTTATCTGTTCTAATTTACTTGAATCTAAAGACAAATCAGAACATTTGTCTTAAATTTCAGAATCAGCAAATACGAAATAAACAAAAAAATTAAGTATCAAAATGTTTATGAACTCAACATCGACTCCCCAGGTCAACTCGTCAACATCGACTCCCCAGGTCAACTCGTCGACATCGACTCCCCAGGTCAACTCGTCGACATCGACTCCCCAGGTCAACTCGTCAACATCGACTCCCCCGGTCAACTCGTCAACATCGACTCCCCAGGTCAACTCGTCAACATCGACTCCCCAGGTCAACTCGTCGACATCGACTCCCCAGGTCAACTCGTCGACATCGACTCCCCAGGTCAACTCGTCGACATCGACTCCCCAGGTCAACTCGTCGACATCGACTCCCCAGGTCAACTCGTCGACATCGACTCCCCAGGTCAACTCGTCGACATCGACTCCCAGGTCAACTCGTCGACATCGACTCCCCAGGTCAACTCGTCGACATCGACTCCCCAGGTCAACTCGTCGACATCGACTCCCCAGGTCAACTCGTCGACATCGACTCCCCAGGTCAACTCGTCGACATCGACTCCCCAGGTCAAACTCGTCGACATCGACTCCCCAGGTCAACTCGTCGACATCGACTCCCCAGGTCAACTCGTCGACATCGACTCCCCCGGTCAACTCGTCGACATCGACTCCCCCGGTCAACTCGTCGACATCGACTCCCCGGTCAACTCGTCGACATCGACTCCCCCGGTCAACTCGTCGACATCGACTCCCCGGTCAACTCGTCGACATCGACTCCCCCGGTCAACTCGTCGACATCGACTCCCCCGGTCAACTCGTCGACATCGACTCCCCCGGTCAACTCGTCGACATCGACTCCCCGGTCAACTCGTCGACATCGACTCCCCCGGTCAACTCGTCGACATCGACTCCCCGGTCAACTCGTCGACATCGACTCCCCGGTCAACTCGTCGACATCGACTCCCCCGGTCAACTCGTCGACATCGACTCCCCCGGTCAACTCGTCGACATCGACTCCCCCGGTCAACTCGTCGACATCGACTCCCCCGGTCAACTCGTCGACATCGACTCCCCCGGTCAACTCGTCGACATCGACTCCCCCGGTCAACTCGTCGACATCGACTCCCCCGGTCAACTCGTCGACATCGACTCCCCCGGTCAACTCGTCGACATCGACTCCCCGGTCAACTCGTCGACATCGACTCCCCCGGTCAACTCGTCGACATCGACTCCCCGGTCAACTCGTCGACATCGACTCCCCGGTCAACTCGTCGACATCGACTCCCCCGGTCAACTCGTCGACATCGACTCCCCCGGTCAACTCGTCGACATCGACTCCCCCGGTCAACTCGTCGACATCGACTCCCCCGGTCAACTCGTCGACATCGATCCCCCCGGTCAACTCGTCGACATCGACTCCCCCGGTCAACTCGTCGACATCGACTCCCCCGGTCAACTCGTCGACATCGACTCCCCCGGTCAACTCGTCGACATCGACTCCCCCGGTCAACTCGTCGACATCGACTCCCCCGGTCAACTCGTCGACATCGACTCCCCCGGTCAACTCGTCGACATCGACTCCCCCGGTCAACTCGTCGACATCGACTCCCCCGGTCAACTCGTCGACATCGACTCCCCGGTCAACTCGTCGACATCGACTCCCCCGGTCAACTCGTCGACATCGACTCCCCCGGTCAACTCGTCGACATCGACTCCCCGGTCAACTCGTCGACATCGACTCCCCCGGTCAACTCGTCGACATCGACTCCCCCGGTCAACTCGTCGACATCGACTCCCCGGTCAACTCGTCGACATCGACTCCCCGGTCAACTCGTCGACATCGACTCCCCCGGTCAACTCGTCGACATCGACTCCCCGGTCAACTCGTCGACATCGACTCCCCCGGTCAACTGTCGACATCGACTCCCCCGGTCAACTCGTCGACATCGACTCCCCCGGTCAACTCGTCGACATCGACTCCCCCGGTCACTCGTCGACATCGACTCCCCCGGTCAACTCGTCGACATCGACTCCCCCGGTCAACTCGTCGACATCGACTCCCCCGGTCAACTCGTCGACATCGACTCCCCGGTCAACTCGTCGACATCGACTCCCCCGGTCAAACTCGTCGACATCGACTCCCCCGGTCAACTCGTCGACATCGACTCCCCCGGTCAACTCGTCGACATCGACTCCCCCGGTCAACTCGTCGACATCGACTCCCCCGGTCAACTCGTCGACATCGACTCCCCCGGTCAACTCGTCGACATCGACTCCCCCGGTCAACTCGTCGACATCGACTCCCCCGGTCAACTCGTCGACATCGACTCCCCCGGTCAACTCGTCGACATCGACTCCCCGGTCAACTCGTCGACATCGACTCCCCCGGTCAACTCGTCGACATCGACTCCCCCGGTCAACTCGTCGACATCGACTCCCCCGGTCAACTCGTCGACCATCGACTCCCCCGGTCAACTCGTCGACATCGACTCCCCGGTCAACTCGTCGACATCGACTCCCCCGGTCAACTCGTCGACATCGACTCCCCCGGTCAACTCGTCGACATCGACTCCCCCGGTCAACTCGTCGACATCGACTCCCCCGGTCAACTCGTCGACATCGACTCCCCCGGTCAACTCGTCGACATCGACTCCCCCGGTCAACTCGTCGACATCGACTCCCCCGGTCAACTCGTCGACATCGACTCCCCCGGTCAACTCGTCGACATCGACTCCCCCGGTCAACTCGTCGACATCGACTCCCCGGTCAACTCGTCGACATCGACTCCCCGGTCAACTCGTCGACATCGACTCCCCCGGTCAACTCGTCGACATCGACTCCCCGGTCAACTCGTCGACATCGACTCCCCCGGTCAACTCGTCGACATCGACTCCCCCGGTCAATCTCGTCGACATCGACTCCCCGGTCAACTCGTCGACATCGACTCCCCCGGTCAACTCGTCGACATCGACTCCCCCGGTCAACTCGTCGACATCGACTCCCCGGTCAACTCGTCGACATCGACTCCCCCGGTCAACTCGTCGACATCGACTCCCCCGGTCAACTCGTCGACATCGACTCCCCCGGTCAACTCGTCGACATCGACTCCCCGGTCAACTCGTCGACATCGACTCCCCCGGTCAACTCGTCGACATCGACTCCCCGGTCAACTCGTCGACATCGACTCCCCCGGTCAACTCGTCGACATCGACTCCCCCGGTCAACTCGTCGACATCGACTCCCCCGGTCAACTCGTCGACATCGACTCCCCGGTCAACTCGTCGACATCGACTCCCCCGGTCAACTCGTCGACATCGACTCCCCGGTCAACTCGTCGACATCGACTCCCCGGTCAACTCGTCGACATCGACTCCCCCGGTCAACTCGTCGACATCGACTCCCCGGTCAACTCGTCGACATCGACTCCCCCGGTCAACTCGTCGACATCGACTCCCCCGGTCAACTCGTCGACATCGACTCCCCCGGTCAACTCGTCGACATCGACTCCCCCGGTCAACTCGTCGACATCGACTCCCCCGGTCAACTCGTCGACATCGACTCCCCCGGTCAACTCGTCGACATCGACTCCCCCGGTCAACTCGTCGACATCGACTCCCCCGGTCAACTCGTCGACATCGACTCCCCCGGTCAACTCGTCGACATCGACTCCCCCGGTCAACTCGTCGACATCGACTCCCCAGGTCAACTCGTCGACATCGACTCCCCAGGTCAACTCGTCGACATCGACTCCCCAGGTCAACTCGTCAACAGGCACCTAAAGTCAGTACCTGACCAACCGGGCTGTGGTTCGTATGTCAGCTTGCGTGCGGCCAGCAGTAACAGCCTGGTTGATCAGACCCTGGTCCACAATGAGGCCTGGTCTCAGATCGAGCCGCGAGGGCGTTGACCCCCGAAACCTTCTCCAAGTAAACATTGACCCCTCACCCAGGTCAACTCGTCAACATCGACCCCCAGGTTACTAAACAACAAGCGTAGTTACTTGCCTGTCAATACCGTCAACCACCAGACCAGAGCCCAGGAAACCGCAGTAGCAGCCGTAGCCCTTGTAGCTCAGCGGGTTGCAGTCGGTAGCGCAGGTCATCATATTGAACAAGTGGAACACGGAACGTTTCCTCCTGCTGGATGAAGCACTCTGTTCCTCTGTTCTCACTTCGATCCAAGTGGGCTGGAGGCTGTTATCACTGTTGTTATTATTACTTTGGCTGTTGCTGCTGTTGCTCAACTCCTCTAGTGCCGAATCTAGAAACAAAAACATAATGGACTCAGTTTTATTTTTAAATGTTTGATGATTAATAAATAAGGACTAAAAAACGTTCCAGTGTCTCTTGCATTTGACTATCTGTCTCGGGTTTAGCACAACTTCGATCGAGGTTTTGGAACTAAACACTTCTCAAAGCTGAAGGACTGACCCCCTTCCTCCCCGCTCAAAAATTTTTCATCTCCACTACTGCTCTCTTCAGTATTTAAATCGCCTCCGTATTCGACTGAAGAAGCCTGCTGAACAGGCTAAACCTTTCGACAGTTAAGATATCCAACTGTTGCATGTATGTGTTAATCTACGATGACCGATGATGTAACAGCGGCGATAACAACAGAGATCAAGAGTAAGAGCGCTGCTGATAGCGGCTTGATAACAGGGATAAAACTGTGATAATGTTGGTAGAATTGCCGACAATGTTAAGTAACAGGACACAGGTGCAACTAATGCGACATTTTATTGACAACGTTTCGCTCTCCAGGAAATTTGTCAAGCAGTTACAAACAATACTGGGACACGGAGGAGTATATATAGGTACTGGGTGAGGTTTAAAGAATAATCGTTGAAGGTAGTAGTGGTAGTATTGTAGTAGTAGTTGTGGTACTTGTGGTACTAGCAGTAGAAGTGGTAGCAGCTATGTGATGGCGGGGTTTATTGCTTTCGAGGAGAATTCTTACTAATACATTTATGAAGGGATTCAGGGAAACCGGCAGGCCGGACTTGAGTCCTGGAGATGGGAAGTACAGTGCCTGCACTCTGAAGGAGGGGTGTTAATGTTGCAGTTTAAAAACTGTAGTGTAAAGCACCCTTCTGGCAAGACAGTGATGGAGTGAATGATGGTGAAAGTTTTTCTTTTTCGGGCCACCCTGCCTTGGTGGGAATCGGCCGGTGTGATAATAAAAATAAAAATAAACGTCAGAGATGATGAATCTGTCTTTATTCTGTTAGAAATAGTGATTAATAATGATTAAAGGCATTTACATCTACGGAAAGTGGGTTCTTTAATCACTAGGTGCACGTCGTTGAATTTCATCATGTGGTTGGCGGAAATCCGGTGTTGTACTCAAGCATTGCTCAAGTTATCCTCCGTACATGCATTAATGTGTTCATTGAGACTTGTTTCGAGGTTTCTTACTATTCACCTACGTATATTCTGTTACAGCCTCCATAGGAGATAGTATAAATTTACCCCAGCGTTGACTGGTTCAATGTTCAACTTCGTCCTAGTGTCAGATCTTTTATTGAAGTACTGGTTGCGATGGCTAGTGTTAGATTGTGCGAGTACTTTAGAGACGTGCAATGCAGCCTGATTGTAGGGAAGGATTATTACTTTGTTAGGAGTGGTGTTGGTACTTCGAGAATTTATGATCTGAAGGGCTCTTTTTCTTGCAGTCTTTGATGAAAAAGGAAAGGAAATGTAGATCAGAGAAGGTTTGGTGTATATATGTACATTCCTCGTCAAAAACTCTGGACTGCAAATTCGGTATGTTCTTCGGAAAAATCCAGTGCTGATGCCTCTTTTGGTCCTAGTATCTTGACTGGAATAGAAGTGTGCCAGATCGTTTTTACTTTTAGGTTTTCCGTGAACTTGAAACTTTAGTGTTATCTGTTTTGTGATTGGGACCATCTAGAAAAGGTAGCTTGTCATTGGACTCTTCTAATGTAAACCGGATAGCCGGTTCAACTGCGTTGAGTCTTGCCTGAAGATTCGCACATCAGAACGCTTGGGCGTTATTATGAAGACGTCGTCCACATAATATAACTGTGACGCTGGTGGGGATGATGTTGGCGACCCGTTCAGCTTCCAGGTGTTCTATATACAAAGTTAGCTACGACGGCACTGATATGGAACCCCCTTCCCATACCATAGGATTGTTTGTAGAGCGTGTTATTGAAATAAAAGCAGTTGAAATTAATGCAGAGTTCACTCAGGTCAAAGTAATCTCCGGGAGGTAGAGGAAGATTAAGGTCCTGATTGACTTTACGTCGGAGAACGCTAATGGTTTGTGTTGTGGGTGCCTTAGTGAAGAGGGAGGCTACGTTCAAACTATTCAGTTTCTTGTTTCGGAAGGAAAGGTCTCGGATGCGATAGAGGTCACCTGAATGCTTTAGATGGACGGGGCTGATGGTCCCCAGAAGGCAAGAAAGATTGGCGATGTGACTGGTCTCGGAGGAATATTATGTTTGTCTTAAGTAATCCATACATGTGTGTAGGTTTAGGTTACTGGGTATCAAGTGTAAAATGGGGTCCCCCATCAGCGCCGTCTTAGCCAACTTGTATATGGAACACCTGGAAGCTGAACGGGTCGCTAACATCATCCCCACCTGTGTCGCTTGGTTACGTCATGTGGACGACGTCTTCATAATAACGCCCAAGCGTTTTGATGTGCGGAATCTTCAGGCAAGACTCAACGCAGTTGAACCGGCTTTCCAGTTTTCACTTGAGTCCAGTGACAAGCTACCTTTTCTAGACGTCCTCATTCACAAAGTAGATAACACTTTTAAGGTTTAAGGTTTACCAGAAACCTAAAAAACAAAAACAATCTCACACGCTATTCCAATCAAGATACTAAGACCAAAAGAGGCACCGCCATTGGATTTTTCCTAAGAACATACCGAATTTACAGTCCAGAGTTCTTGACGAGGAGTATACATAAATAAAGCAACCCTTCACTGATCTACATTTCCTTTTCTTTTTCATAAAAGACTGCAAGAAAAAGAGCCCTTTAGAACATAAATTCTTCAAGCACCAACACCACTCCTAACAAAGTAAAAATTTTTCCTCACAATCAGGCTGCATTGAACGTCTGTAAAGTGCTCGCACAAACTTACACTTAGTCATCGCAACCAGTACTTCCATAAAAGATCTGACACCAGGACGAAGTTGAAGAACATTGAACTAATCAATGCTGGGATTTATACTATCTCCTGTGGAGACTGTAACAGAATATACGTAGGTGAATAGCAAGAAACCTCGAAACAAGTCTCAATGAACACATTAATGCATGTACGAACGATAACTTGAGCAATGCCTGCGTACAACAACGGAATTCCGTAAAGCACATGATGAAATTCAACGACGCCCACCTAGTGATGAAAGAGCCCACTTTCCGTAGACGTACATAAGATAAGATTTCGTTCGGATTTTTAATCCCCGGAGGGTTAGCCACCCAGGATAACCCAAGAAAGTCAGTGCGTCAGCGAGGACTGTCTAACTTATTTCCATTAGGGTCCTTAATCTTGTCCCCCAGGATGCGACCCACACCAGTCGACTAACACCCAGGTACCTATTTGCTGCTAGGTGAATAGGACAACAGGTGTAAGGAAACGTGTTGAAATGTTTCCACCCGCCGGGAATCGAACCCGGGCCCTCCGTGTGTGAAGCAGGAGCTTTAGCCACCAGGCCACCGGGCCACATGCCTTGAACCATATTTAATCGCTATTTCTAACAAACATAATAAAGGCAGATTCATCATCTCTGAAGTATTAGCAAGAATTCTCCTCAAAACAATAACCTCGCCATCACATATCTGCTACCACTACTAATACTACTACCACCACCACCACAAGTACAACTACTACTACTACCACTAGCACAATACTACTACCTACAAAGATTATATTATGCTTTGCACCTCACTTTGACCTATATATTCCTCCTTGTGTCCCTGTACTGTTTATAACGGCTTGAAAAAATTCCTGGAGAGCGAAACGTTGTCATAATAAAATGCTGTAATAGTTGCACTTGTTTTACCTAACAAGGATAAAGATGAGGACTAAGTTGTTGAGGTATGAGCACCCACACACAACTCTCAGCATCAGGTGCTACGTACGAAACTTGTGTGAGTGAAGTGTGAGCACCCACACACCGATCACTCAACCCCAGGAGCTGGCGATGAAGCTGGTGCTGGTAAGGTGTTATCAGCCACACAAGGAGCAATCAACACCAGGTAAAAGACATACGTTATACCCAAAGAAAATCTGAGGAAGCATTTATTTTAGGTTGTGTGTGTGTGTGTGTGTGTGTGTGTGTGTGTGGTGTGTGTGTGTGTGTGTGTGTGTGTGTGTGTGTGAGAGAGAGTGAGAGAGTGAGTATATACAGAGTATGGCTGTGATGGTGGAGATTTGGCTCTTGTTCCCATGAGTGTACATGTGTGTGTGTGTCCAACCTACGTAGCAGGAATTAAAAATTCAGTGTCGTTCATGCACTCCCTCAGGAGTCATGAGAACCATGATATTTTTTATTAGGTCTCTGCTGAAAATTTAAAACTTACTCTCAAGGAAAAACCTCATCCTCTGTTTACTTCGTATAAGCGTCTCAAAATCATGCATTTTTGCGAGTGGCGTAACATGATAAAGTATCGTCATGCAGTGAGGTGCATTCTGCAACAATTCACCCTCCTAGGCATACTCTGGGACTCAAAATAAAATTATTAATTTTTCCTGCAATTATACTGTCAAAAAAGAAGTACAAATGAAAACTTTCTGTAGAATGTACTAATACGATGCATGTTTTTTTCAGGACCACATCCAGATATACTATGTATGGAGCTGCTGTTGGAATAACCTGTATGAAATACAAATTTAATCCCAACAGCAGGTGTAGCCCCACTGTGAGGTGAGGTTTGTGAGGGATTTAACCTGCTGACCAACACGTGAAAAACAGACACGATGTTTTAGAGACTAAAAAAAGCGTGAAGGTTATTGCTGAAAATACGTAAATGGAATGTGGCTTTAAAATGCTCCTGCCGACCCATAAGTCTTGAACCTTAAAAAAAACATTCGCATGGGAAAAAAGAATATATGGTAAAATAGTAAGTTGTATATTTCAAAGCTCGTTCCTGATGATATATCTGGGACACAGTTTAATTTAGCTTATAAAAGCACAGTATAATGCAAGATAGAATAATATAGTACAGCATTACATAGGCAGTAGTGCTGTATAGCCCTTGTGGTTTAGCGCTTCTTTTTGATTATAATA